TCTCTCTCTCTCTCTCTCTCTCTCTCTCTCTCTCTCTCTCTCTCTCTCTCTCTCTCTCTCTCTCTCTCACACACACACACACACACACACAGAAACGACCGGTTTGCCGCAACTCTTCCCCCTCTGTCAACTTCTCTTCCCCTCCTAAACCATCCCCACGTTTCCTCCTCCTCCTTCTCCTCCTTCTCCTCCTTCTCCTCCTTCTCCTCCTCGTAGTCCTCTTCCCATCTCCCGCCAATCTTTCCTCCACCGTACGAATGGTTTAACGAAAATATCCGATCCCGATCCGCCTGCAACTGCGTCACCTCACCGGCAACTTCTCTCCTCGACTCACGACTGCTCCCTTCTCCTCCTCCTCCTTCCTCTCCTTCTCCTCCTCCTCCTTCCTGTCCTCCTCCTCCTTCCTCCTTCCCTTCCTTCTCCTCCTCCTCCTCCTCCTCTTCTCGTCGTTCACCTTCTCGAACGCCAATCCCCCAACTAATCACCACGTCGCAGCTCTGCAATGACAAGAGCTGGACAAGTTGGCAGCTACACCCGCTCGCGTCCACCATGCAATGCCAGGTGTTGGAGCGCACTCCTCCATCCACCTGGAAAACCCGCGCTTTTGCCCCTCAAGCGCCAGATCTCTCAGAAGAACCAACAGTCCCGTCAACGGTCAAAATCCGGCCTTGCCTATGGCTGTGGCTATGGTTGCCCCAGTAAGCAGGCAGTCAAAACTTTCTTCCTCCCACCACCTCGCAGTCCTCGAAAGGTGAAGCGCGTCCCGCGCCGGCGCACCCGTCCCCTCTACGAAGACCTCAGCGACTCCCCTCAATGACTCGTTGCTACATCGCCATGGCAACGCAACCAAATCACAACGGGTTCGAGCCACCGTTGTGTCGCATTATTATCAATTAATGAATAATGAATTAAACAACTACGGCTGCCAGTCCCAAAGCGAGTCCGCGCGTCCGGTTCGACCCGCCGCCGGCCCTCAACGTCCCCCAAAGGCCAGGTCCTGGGGCTCCCTCCACTACACAACATTTTTCATGAACCTGAACAACCGGTCGACCTGATGCACTCAGACGGCTCCGGCATTTTGAACGCACCGGGACATATCAGGTCCAGATACGCTTAGAATCCTTTGTTGCCTCACTAGGTCCTTCCCGCCCTTCCCGCCCTCCTACTGTAGCAGCCACGTGTGTTATTGTAGCGTCGAGTTGGGATCTCCTTTTTTCCGTTCTTCCCGCCCGCAAACGCCACCGCGTGTTCTGCGCTGTTCTCGTGTTGTGCGCCCACGGCGGGAGGTCCACTACCAAAGAAAAAACGAACAAAAGACAACATCGGTGCCACAAAGAGAAAATAAAATAAGAAAAGAGAATCATCGATGGGATCTCTGTTGGACCGACTACCGCGCTACGTATCAGTGGGTCCAACAGGGAGGAGTCAAAACTTTTTCTTTGGGCTGGCGCCGCCAGCAAGTTTGGTACGGGCCTCCGATCTTATTTGTGGGGCGCCACGTGCTGGGAAAGGGGCCCGGCGTGCCTTTTCCTTTTTTTTTTGGGGGGGGGAACCTCACAAACAACCCGGAAAGTACTGGGGCCATTACCCAGTTTAGGCTCTGCTGGAAACCGGGTCCAGCGTCCCTCATCTTCCAAATCAAAGGGCCTCGTTCAACACCACTACAAAACCCTTACATGTAAGGTTTTCATCGTTCCACCCCTCCCTAATCACGAAGAAAAAGAAGTTCAATTTGTTTTCACATTGTTAGACCACGCCCTGCGTGGTTGCGCAGCCGGGCAGGGAGGCCCTGCCAAGTTGTGAAAGAAACCCCCATAGCGTCCCTCATAAAAAGTAGGCGGGGCTCTTGGCCTGGCAGGAATGTGTTCATCTATGGTCATAAGCAGCAGGGACGGACGAAAAGACGCTTTTACAATGTGGTGGACATAAATCCCCTCACTTACCTTCCATAAATTCACCCCCACGGGTTGAGGAAACCGTAAATTGTCGATATATTCTGGCAGTGTGACCAACGTTACATCCCGCATTTATGGGATGGCCGTGTTGTGACTATGCTTGCATATTACGTTCCCTTTTTTTTTTCTTTTTTTTTTTAACAAGGAGTGCTCCATTTATTACTCTGGGGGGAGCTTAGCATGAAAGAACAGATCCAAGAAGGCGCCAAGAAGGGGTTGCTTCTTATTACCGGCAAGGCTTAGCATGAAACAGCAGAGTCCAAGAAGGAGAGAGGATCATGGGAAAGGTCTTTCTACTGGCCAACCCACAGGCTCCAACTTCCCAAGKGCTCACATGTGTTTCACCCATCATTTCTCTAGTCATYGCTGCTGTCCTGCTGCTGTGCTGCTGCTGTCCTGMTGCTTTCCTGTTGCTGTTCTCAGTCAGACTGTGCTTGCATGTGTTTCACCCACCCAGTGTTTTCTACGGTCTGCTCGACTCTGCTGCCAGCGCAGGAATGCTTGATCGGCGCTCGGGACAYGACCAGTTTCAAATTGAGAAAAATAAAMAAATGCATCTGACATTCTGTGCTATCACAGGTATTATGATATGGAATTCACAACATGCACACAAGCACACGGTGAGCATAGACATAGGTAGGAAAGAAAAAAGATATTGTCCCCCTTAAGAAGTCTACCGATCAAACCAACAAAACCAAGCATCCGCCACTATCCACTCCGTCCTAAGCACTAGTGCCTCCAAAAATTCAACTGGCTGTCTGTGGTTTTAAAATAAAATAGAATAAAAATAACTTTAAATAAAATACACCCASGCATACCCATAGTATTCTGGGGGATCTGTTGTGCTTTTGAGCCACTGTGATAGCAAAGAATGGCCAAAGAACAAAAGYTCATCATCTCTGTTCGCATGACATTGTCTAGTCTGCAATCATTGCACATCAATCTTTTTCTCACCTCTTGTCTTCCTCCCTTTTTTTCCAATTTCCTTTTTGGCTTTTGGGTAAAGAAAGTGAACACCTGTTCTCTTTGTGCGCGCTCGCATGTGTGCATGTGTGTGTGTGTGTGTGTGTGTGTGTGTGTGTGTGTGTGTGT